CCGGTTAGTCAAGCATCAAGAGCAGGGTCCCGCAAGGAACGGGAGCCCAATGAGTTTGTTGAATGTCTGACAAACTACAACTGCTTTGGGCTAGAGGAATAACATCAGAAACTGTTCGCAGACAGCAGTACATCAAGGGCTGTGAGGACCAAGCCTCACGCTGGATAGGGTGTTCTCTGGCTCGCCCTGTGTCACGAAAGCCGCATCTGACTCTGGAGTGTGGTATCCACGTCTTGGGGCTCGCCGAGGGCAAGGTAAGGTCAAGTCCTCTCTGGGGCTCCAGCGCTGCCTAGCACAGGGGCAAGCCTGAGAGGGCCTCAGAGAATGGGAATGACCGAATGAACAAACATCTTTCTCCACCTGGTGAACATGGACTCGTCCTTCAAACCGGACCTGACTGTCCTCTCCTCAAGGAAGCCCTCCCTAACTTTACAAGGCTCCCACCGTGAGGGTCCACAGCCCTGGGAACTCTCTGAAGTGGCCCTGGTCAAACCTCCTTTGCGCATGTCACCACCCGTGTTCCCGACCAGACTCGAGCTCCTCCTGAGCCCCTAGGTGGCCCCACAAAAGGGTCCAGAAATATGAACAGAAAGGGGAAGAGAGGCTCCCAGGCAGAGGACACAGCACGCGCAAAGGTCAGGAAGGCAGAACGCTTGGTGAGTGTTCAGAGAACAAATGGACAGCCTATATCCGAATCTGGGGATTAGGACCACATCTGTCCACCTTAAGTAGATCTTTAACTAGCACACTTCTGGAACCTAAAGATGCCAGACCCCCCACCCACCCCCAGGCCTGAAAATCGGCCTGATGGATCCCAGCCCTGTGGCCCAAGCACCTTCTTGGGATCCATGTTGAACTTCTTCCTGCCCATTGCCATCTTTCGGTTCCGCTGCAAGGTCTTACTGCAGGAGAGAGCAGGGGATGGAGGCTCAATGCCTGGGCATCCCTGGCCTGGCCCCATTACCCCCAAGTTCCCCACCTCAGCCCTCACCTGCCCTCATTGGCCTCCAGACCCTCCACCTCGCTCATGGCTTCACTGAGCTCCTCCCGAAGGCGCTGGATCTCCACCAGCAGCTCTTGCTTCCGCCGCCGGATGTTCTCCAGCTCCATCCGCTCCTCCGGAGTCAGGTCTGGGGGCTCTGAGGGTAGGGTCAGGGGTTGAAGGTCAGTTCTGGGGACTGGGAGCCTGGATTCCTGCAATCTGGGGGAGGACAGGGCTGGAGCGGGCAGGACTAGGTTGCAGGGGAGGGTGAGGATGAGGGTTGGGCCTCCACTGTCTGCTGGAAGAAGAGGCTGGGGGTCTAGATTCCTCAACCCAGGGGAGGAAGGGCTGCGGATGTGGACTCTTAAGTCCTGGGGGAGCAGGGGAAGGCTAGGGGTCAGGACTCCTGAGTTTGAGGGAAAAGGGGGCTGGGAGCCCGAACTGGTGGGTCCATTACTTGGAAGGGGGCTGAGGCCTTGCTTTTCTGCCTCCATTCCTGGCGAGGTAACTGGGAGCTTGGGTGTCGGGACTCCTGGGTCCGTGAAAAGTAACTACGGCTGGGAAAGCTGTGGACAGCTCGCAAGAGTTGGGATTGGGGGCGGGGCATCGAAGGCCCCCGCCCCCGCCTTAGCGGGATCTCTGCAGCCCCCAAGATTTCTCCCCACCCAAGCGCCCCAGAAGCCCCCCTCCCGGCTCCCAGCAGGCACTGGGCTCGCCCGGCCCTTCCAGCCGGAATGGTTCCGCCCCGGCCTCGCCTCCACCGCTCCATCCCGCCCCCTCCCGCCGCCACCGGAAACAGGCTCGGCCCAAACAATGGCCTGGAACGCCCTGCTCTCGGGCCCCGCCGGAAGCCCGTCCCGCGCTCCACAAAAGCTAGGCGACGACGGGGCCGAAAGGCTCCGCGCGGCGCGCGCCGGGAGGGATGTTCGCGGCGGAATATTGGGGTCGAAACGCTCCATCCGCTCCCAGCCGGCCCCGCCCCTCCCCGACCTACCATAGACACCGTCCTCCATGGCGGCTAGGAAGGCCCGCGGGGAGTCCGGGGCGGTCCCGCCGGTCGGGCCTGGATCCGCGTTGGCCCGCGGGCTCGGATGAGCCCGCTCAAACGCCCCGGGAGCCACCGCCGCCTCCTCAGCGCCAGTCCTCAGCGCTGAAAAGACTCTCCCTTCGCCTCCCAACCGCCCCGCCAATAGGGACCGCCCCTCGTTTTGACACCGTCCAATCCACCGAGGGCCCTCTCGTCTGCTCCGCCCCCGACCCGAAGGATCGTCCTCCAGGGCCAATAGGCACACAAGGAGCGGACGTAGCACTGTCCGGCCGGAGGTAAGACGGCCTGTGGGGCCAATCGGAGTGCGGCCAGGGAGCCGGACCCCGCCTCCGAAACAAAAGATGGCATTTGGCTGGTGTGCCCGCCAATGAGAAGGCTCGGAAAGGAGTTGCATGGAGGTGGGACAATGCGCGAGCAGGGAGGATTGCGCCTGCGCAAGGGCACTGGGAGGCTGCTAGTCCAATCCAGCCCCGCCTCTAGTAATAGGTTGCTGGGGAGCGGTACTTTGTTAGTCTCGTTGCCAGGGGGCGGTGCCACAACCGTCCGCTGTTTCCGGGAGCCACACCTCCTTGGCTGGCCAAGCAGGCTTTTGACCGCCCCGGTTGCCAGGCAACTGGGAGCAGCTGTGGCCCGTCTTTTGGCCTCTGTCCTTCCGGTACTGGCCCCTCTGATCTCCAGAGCCTTTCCTTAACCCCTCTCAGGACTTTCCCGTCCACTTCAGCCTCTTGAGAGTCAAGGAGTGGTGAAACAAAAGACTTACTCTTTCTACGCTGTTGGGGGTCTGTCATGGAGAATGGGACATTAGGGGAAGGCCAAATATAGTGAAGGCTCCGCCTCCCTGGCGCCGTCTGCCTCTCAGGCTCCTCCCCATCTCCTTCCAGCCCCTCCCCCTCAGTTTAGCATCCTCCCCCTATAACAACGCCCTTTACTCAACATCCTTCCACCTCTCTGGTTCCTTCCTCGCTCTCAAAGTCCCTTCCCTCCTCTGTAACTCCCCTCACTTCAGGTCCCCGCTCTTAAACTCCTCCCTCCTCTCGGAGTCTCCCCACCCTGCTCCGCCCCAGCCTCTCATTTCCATTCCTTGCAGAAAAAGCAAGTGCCGGCCTGCTGGCCGGGTTGGAGTACCTGGGCATCCCTGTCATGGGCGGGTCCCTAACTGGGTCTCAGGTGGTGTCTGGGCCTTGTCCTCATTTGCTGTCCCTGGGCCAGGCAGGTGGGGGACAGACTCAGGGCCAGGACCTGGTTAAGCTGACAGATTAGACACGGAGCCTCTTAATCCCCTCCCTGACCTTTACGAGCGGCCCAGGCCTTGTCCTTCCCAGTGGGAAGCTAGGCTGTACCAGCTTTGCCCCACTTTCTTTCCAAACAGAACCCTCTTCCTGTCCCTTCATCCCCAACTTAACATCCTTCTCCATGTGTTTCCATTACCCCCGTCCCTACCCCCCCCCCCGGACACCTGCACTGGGAGAACAACTAGCTAATTAATCCCATCCGGTTATTAAGTGGGGATTTTGAAGGATAAAGGGACGTAGGGAAGCCAGATGCGGGGACCTGGGTTGCTGCTGCCCTGGGGCAAGCTAATGGGCAATGTCAGTGCCTGCCCGCAGTCCTGGGACACAGGTGGGAATGTGTCCTCCTCCCTGGCACTGGCTCCTTCTGCAGTTGGCTGCCAGCCTGCTGGGCACTTAGACAGCAGTATGGTGGGGGTTGGAGGAGAGGCGTGACAAACCATGCCCCAGAAGCACACTCACAGACACAACACCCAGGGCTCCCACTGATTTAATCTGGGGCACAATTCTCCCCCTGAACACATACTTTCACCTGACATTCAGAGCTACGTTTTCCTTTCCCTGCCCCCTAAGCTGGACCGGTGCGGGCCGGGGGGTGGGGGGGAGGAAATGGTTCTAGCCCTTAGCCACAGCCCACACTACCCCTTGCCTGCCATGTTGTTCACACATCCAAGTTCACAGCTGGCCTCCGAGAGTGTCTCCCGTCCCAGCTGCCCCTGGAAGGCCATGCATTCCAGCACCAGGGAGAGCTGGGAAATCTATAGGACCCTCACCCCCACCCCCAGCTCTCCTCTTCACAGTGAAGTGAGGAATCATCCTAGTGGCAAGGTCCTTGGAGAACTTCAAGTTTCCAGTGCCCCATTTTTACAGATGGGGAAATTGAGGGAAGAAGGAGGGGAAAGATTTGCCCAAAACCACGCAGTAATTTGCGGCAGAGTTGGGATTCAGAGCAAAGCTTCCTGGATCCTCGTAAATGACTCTATTCCAATTAGCTCAAGCTCAGTTTCTAACCCTTTTGTATGAACCACAGGAAAATATAGATAGATATTTGTATTTATATTATATATATATATATATAATACACATATGTATAACATCTTTAAGAAAGAGACACACATTGCTAGGTGTAGGATTCCAGAGCATCATAGACTCATCAGCCTTGGGCCTCTCCTTCCCTTGCCCAACAACCAGCCCTGTTATCCACAGGGTCTTGCGTGGGCCCTCCCTTTCTAGGTCAGCCCAGAAATGCTGTCGATCAAGTCCCAAGTCCACCTCCCTAGAACTGCCAAGTTCTAGGAGCTGATTAGACTTTCCAGGTTTTAATAATGGACAACCCTTGATCCCTGGAGCCTTGATTCCTTTTGGCATTACAGAACCACAAAGAATCATCGAGATTCTCAACTCCATTGGGCAAACTGGAACCGGTAAATCTCAGCCATCTAGCATCTCCACTCCTTCCTTGACTCTGTGATCAATCTAGAGCCACAGAATCCTGATTCCTTTGGACATTCTAGAATGGCACTTAAAAAAAAAAAACAAAACAAACCCCATGGATCATAAGGAAGTATTGATTATCCCTTTGGTTTGATGTTCTACAGCCAGTGGTCTGGAGTTATCTAATATCAAGAACTCCCAAGCTGTCACTGTCGCCCTTCCAGACCCACAGACACTCTTCTGTTTTGTGCATTCTAGAAACATGACTATTTCATTTCCTCAGTAGCTCAACACTCTAGCTTCAATGTGTTCTAGAACCACCAGTGCTTGCCTCTGTGGTCAATCTAGATTCACAGAATCTTAACTCTTGGGTCTTCTGGAACCACAAGGTCTTTTCTTGACCTGCAGTCAACAATCTTTGTCATTGGTTAATAAAGATAGTCTTGAATTCTTGGGGCATTCCATAACCCTCCCTCCTTACGTGGTCTAGAAAAAAATGATTTGCTACTTGGTTAGCTGAGTCGAGAAGCAACAGTCCCTTGAATCTTAGGTCAACCCAGACCTGCAAACTCTTAATCTCTGTTGCTGTCCCTGGAGACAGTATATACCACTGATTCCTAACCCTGCTCGACAAACCAACCCAGCCACATTAGAGGAATCTAGAACCACCAGTCCTTGCCTCTTGGGTGGTCCAGAATTCTGGACCGGAATCCCTCAGCTCTGGGGAGACTCAGGAATCAGGCTGATAAAGGGGTCTTGGGAGGGAGCATGGACCGCAGAGGAATGAAGATCCAGTGTGTCTGTGGTGGGTCCACTAGGCATGGCAGAACTTCACCAGCTAATAATTTACCCAGCAGGCCTGTCGGGCTTGGGAAACGCCTGCCCCCATCCCAGGAGAGGGCGCTAACTCTCCATCTTGCTATCTCTGGGAAGGGGGTACAAATAGGGAGACACCAGCTGGGCATCACAGGGGCAGGGTCAGTGCCAGGGTTGGTGTGAGTACTTGGGGGCTCGCAGTCCCATCTTCTGCCTCTACCCCATCCCCCTCCTTGGCCTCCTCTTCCTCCTCTTCCTCCTGGCAGCAGCTCAGTGCAAGTTCATTCTCATAACAAAACGCAGCCAGAGAGCCGGGGAAACTAGACTTGGGGCTGTGGGAAGCCCGCTCTGCCTGTTCATCCAACTCCTTGGCGCTGCAGACCGGTGTCCCTGGGACCTCATAAGTGCGGTGGAAGTGGCGATAGTCAACCTCATACTGGGAGCCACGCTGGAAGAGGACTGGCTCAAAACGATGGCCCCAGAGCAGCTCACCAGGGAGGTAGGAGGAGCGACACTGTGTGGTCATGGCCGTGGCCTCCACCATGCCTTCGAGAATGACCACCAGCTCAAAGTCAGCTCGGGCCAGCTCAGCACGTCCTAGTTCATACAGAGGACTGGCAGAGTCGATCTCGTGCACGATGGTGATGGGAGACACAAGGAAGATTCGATCGGTGCCACCATCAAAGCCCACGTCCACATCCTGATGATCCAGTGGTATGTACTCACCCTCCGGGGTCACACGAGGCTGCAGCAAGAGGGGAGGGGCCAAAGACAGCCGGCAGGGAGCACAGAGATGAATGGAGACAGAGATGACGAGATAAAGGAACGGAGATGCCAAAGAAGGGGAGAGCAGAAACAGGCAGGGGTGGTGGGGTGAGAACATGGACCCAGAGAGAGGGGAATGGAGGCCCAGAGAGAGGAGCATGGAGGTCCAGAGAAAGGGGGGGACAGAACCAGAGATACAGAGACTCAAAGGGTTTGGGGATAGAAACGCAAGAGAGAAAAAGAGAGGGGACAGAGGGGCAGAATGATATTGGTATCGAGTCACAGAAATCAGCAAAGCAGGGACGAAGTTAAAGAGACAACAGAAGGTAGGAGCAATGTCCAAGCAGCAATTGGAGAAGGAAGAGAGGGAGAGAAGAGTGGTTTTCAATATATGGCCATTGAGCTATAAATAAGGATGACAACCTAGGTCCCACACTCCATATTCTACCACAGCCTCAGGCTAGCCCCTGGCTTATCTATCCCCCAACCCAACTACAAGCCCCTCTGTCCCATTGTACCTGTGTGTGTATGTGTGTGTGTTTGTGTGTGTGTGTGTGAGTGAGTGTAGGTGTGTATGTGTGTGTGGGAGGGGACAATGCAGTCCCCAGGCCAGGTATTGGTAGTTTCCCCCCACTTCCCCCCATTGGTTCCATGCCCAACCTTCCAAACCTTGTCAGCGCCCCCACAGACTTCTGGGAGAGAGAGTATCTCTCCCTCTCATGAATCCAGGAGCCCCCAGGTGCTGCTGGGAGTTGTAGTTCTCACCAGCATTCTCACCATTCTCACCAAAGTCCAAACTCACCCAGGGTTCTTAAGTGTCTTTACTTGGGCCAGGACAACTACTGGATTTTGGGCCTAGAATTTGGGCCGTTTTACAATTCTAGAGAAACACTAGGGCGCCTCCTTCAGGGCACCAGAGGGAGCTGCTACCCCAGGCGCCAATGGGGGTCGTAGCTGTTTTGTTTTTTGCTTGTTTGTTTGTTTTGGCGGTAAGGTACAATTCAAGGGTGTTTTCCAGCCCTGTACTCCCCCGAGCAGGAGGCTGGTGGGGCCAACTGGGCCACTGATACGGGGAATGAAGTCTCCTGCAAATGCTGCAGGACCCCGTGCCCAGAGGCCACGGAGAATTGCGTTCCACAGCTCTTCTGCAGATGTGACCTGCACCCCATCCTTGGGCCTACATCTCCCACAACCCCAAAGGGGCCTGGCCTCAAGTCACGGGCCACTCTCGGTACCGCTGTGTGGGCTGGTAACTGACAAGCCGAGCCATGGTTTACACCACCCACAAACTACATCATTGGCTCAGACCATCCCTTGGGGATACTTTCCCTGCCCACAGAGGCTTCTGGGAATTGTAGTTTAGAGCCTTTACACGACAGATGCGGCCTTCTCAGGTCTAGGTATCCCACAACCGCACTGGGGGCCCGTCCTCAAGCCACAGGAACCTCTTTATGTCTCAAGATCTGTTTCAAGCCAAGGTCTCCAGTTAGCACTGGTCACAGACAGCTCTCTTGGGTTTCCATCTCCTACAACTGATCCAGGAAGGAGCCTCAGTCCACAAAGGGGGGAGGGGGCGACAGGGCTCCCTGCCCGCGAGGCTGCTGGGAATTGTAGTCCACGCGCCGGCCAGGCCAGCCGCACACCCCACCCTCAGGCCTACGTCTCCCACCATTCCCCCCGCGACGGGTCCCTCCCTCCTGCCCCGGCCTGGCCTTTCCAGCCCGGCGGCCCGCACCTGCAGCAACTGAGCCCGCACGTGGGCCTCGACCAGGTGGCTGCGGCGGAGGTTGCCGACGCGCCACATGAGGCAGAGGCGGCGATCGCGCAGCGCCACGACGGCGTTCTCGCTGAACACGAGCGTCTCGTTGCGCTTCTTGGGCTTGGCCATCTTGGCCATGACGGCGCCCACGACGAAGGCGTCGAGCACGCAGCCGGCGATGCACTGCAGCACCACGGCGGCCACGGCGGCCGGGCACTCCTCGGTGACGCTGCGCACGCCATAGCCGATGGACGTCTGCGTCTCGAGCGCGAAGAGGAAGGCGGCCAGGAAGCTGGCCACCTGCGAGAAGCAGGGCGCCGGCGGCGGCGGCGCGGCCAGGTCGCCGTGCAGCGAGGCGATGAGCCAGAAGGCCAGGCCGAAGAGCAGCCAGGAGGCGAGGAAGGAGCAGGAGAAGAGCAGGCACATCCAGCGCCAGCGCACGTCCACGCACGTGGTGAACAGGTCGCTCAGGTAGCGCGCGCCCTGGCCGCCCAGGTTCACGAAGCGCACGTTGCAGTGCCCGTCCTTCTTGACGAAGCGCCCGCGGCGCCGCCCCGCCGGCGACGGCGCCCACCCGTTGCGGCACAGCCCCGGCCCGGCCTCCTCCTCATCGCCGGCGCGGCCCTCCCCTGGCTCCAGGGCGCCGCTAAGGCGGCGCAGGGCCCTGGCCAGGCCCATTGGGCGGGGGCACCCCCTCCACTTGGCCTAGTGGGGGGCGGGCGCCCCGAACCTGCGGAGACGAGAGACAGGCAGCAACGTCAGGGGTGCCGGGAACGGTAGGCTCCTCAGCCAAGGCGTGCTCCCTGGGCCGCGGTGGCCTCATCTGGCAAATGGGCGGCGTATTACTCACCCTGAAAGTCGGAACAGTGCGGCATCGAGGACAATGATATTATAGGAGATGCTTGAATAGCAACGAAGTCAGCCGTGATAATATTATAGCACGCACCACAGTAATTAGAGCAGACATCCGCGCAGCGCCAGACACGGTTGTGAGCACTTTACAGGAATTTACATATTTGAGCCCAACACCGTTATTATCCCCATCTTATAGATGAGAAAACGCAGGCACAAAATGTTTAACTTGCCCAAGGTCAGAGTTAACTAGGATTTGAGCGCCACCAATCCAGAGTCCATAGAGTGGTGACTGTTTCTCAACTTGGAATCCGCACGGAGAGATGAACCCAGGCCATCTATGGCTCCAAAACAGGCTCAGAAAGCAGAAGCAACAGAGGAAAAATGGTGGATGAATTGAACTTCATTAAAATTAAAGACTTTGGGGGCGCCTGGGTGCCTCAGTCGTTAAGCGTCTGCCTTCGGCTCAGGTCATGATCCCAGGGTCCTGGGATCGAGCCCGGCATCAGGCTCCCTGCTCGGCGGGAAGCCTGCTTCTCCCTCTCCCACTCCCCCTGCTTGTGTTCCCTCTCTCGCTGTCTCTCTCTCTCTCTGTCAAAATAAATAAATAAAATCTTAAAAAAAAAAAAGACTTTTGAAGGGCACCTGGCTGGCTCAGTCCCTGGAGCATGCGATTCTTGGGTTTGAGTTCAAGCCCCATATGGCGTATAGAGATTGCTTAAAAATAAAATCTTTAAAAGAAAAATAAAAACTTTTGGGCTTCAAAGGACACTATCAAGAAAGTGAAAAGACAACCCACCAATGGGAGAAATTGTTTGCAAATCATGTATGTAAGAAGTTTTTATCTAAAATATCTAAACGGGCGCCTGGATGGCTCAGTTGGTTAAGCATCTGCCTTCAGCTCAGGTCATGATCTCGGGGTCCTGGGATGGAGGCCCACATCCAGAGTCCCTGCTCAGTGGGGAGTCTGCTTCTCCCTCTCCCTCTGCCCCCCACTCGTGCTCGCTCGCTCTCTCAAATAAATTTTTTAAAATCTTAAAAAAACAAAATATCTAAACACCCCCTAAACTCAATAATAAAGACACCACAATTTAAAAATAGGCAAAGGAGGGGCAACTGGTGGCTCAGTTGGTTAAGCATCCAACTCTTGGTTTCAGCTCAGGTTGTGATCTTGGGTATTGTGATCTTGGGTCTTGAGATTGAGCCTCGCGTCAGGCTCCGCACTCATTGGGGAGTCTGCTTAAGACTCTCTCTCTCTCCCTCTGTCCCTCCCTCCTGTGCTCTCCCTCTCAAATCAACCAATCTTTAAAAAAAAATACGCAAAGGATCCGAGGAGACATTTCTCTAAGAAAAATATACAAGTAGCCAATAAGATAAGCTCATAAAGCACCTAAACAGATGCTCAATGTCATTAGCCATCAGGGAAATGCAAATCAAAACCATGAGACGCTATTTTCCATCCACTTGGGAAGATAACCTGTGTTGACAAGGATGTGGAGAAGTTGGCACCCTCATACACCACTTACTGGTGGAATGTAAAATGGTGCAGATGCTGGGAAAAACAGTCTGGCAGTTCCTTAAGTGGTTAACCATAGCTACCCTATGACCCAGCATTCTACTTCCAGGTATCCCCCCAGGACAAAACAAACGTCCACACAAACCACTGGTACACAAATGTTCATGACAGTGTTATTCGAGATAGCCAACACATGGAAACAACCCAAATAGCCATCAGTGGATGAATGAATAACTAAATGTGATATATCCACACAGTGACGTGCTACCCAGCAAGAAAACAAAGCGCTGACATGCTACAACATGGATGAACCTTGAAAACATCGTGCTAAAGGAAGCCAGATACAGAAGACCACATATTGGGGAACCTGGGTAACACAGTCGGTTAAGCATCTGACTCTTGGTTTTGGCTCAGGTCTGATCTTGGGGTCTTGAGAGTCAGCCCCGGATTGGGCTCACTGAGGACGGTGTCTACTTAAGACTCTCCCTCTCCCCCACCTCTCTCAAATAAATAAGTCTTGGGGCACTTGGGTGGCTCAGTTGTTAAGCGTCTACCTTCAGCTCAGGTCATGATCCCAGGGTCCTGGGATTGAGCCCCGCTTCGGGCTCCCTGCTCCGCGGGAAGCCTGCTTCTCCCTCTCCCCCTGGTTGTGTTCCCTCTCTCGCTGTATCTCTCTCTGTCAAATAAATAAAATCTTAAAAAGAAAATCTTAAAAAAAAAGGACCACATATTGTATACTTTCATTTATATGTCCAGATGGGCAAATCTGTACATTGAGAAAGGAGACTAGTGGTACCTAGGGCTGGGGAGGTGGGGGGATTGGGGAGCAATAGCCAGAGGACACAGGTCTTCCTGTTGGGGTGATGAGAATGTTCGAAAATTGATTGTAGTGATGGTGGTACAACTCCATGAAAATACTAAAAAACACTGAATCGTGGGCGCCTGGGTGGCTCAGTTGGTTAAGCGACTGCCTTCGGCTCAGGTCATGATCCTGGAGTCCCAGGATCGAGTCCCGCATCGGGCTCCCTGCTCAGCAGGGAGTCTGCTTCTCCCTCTGACCTTCTTCCCTCTTGTGCTCTCTCTCTACCATTCTCGCTCTCCATAAATAAAAATCTTTATTAGAAAAATAAAAAAAATAAGAAACACTGAATTGTATACTTTAGTGTGTGGGTTGTATTTTATCTGAAATATATATATATATTTTTTTTTTTCCTCAAATTTTAAGTTATCTCTACACCCAACATGGGGCTCGAACTCCTGACCTCGAGATCAAGAGTCGCATGCTCCAATGACTGAGCCAGCTAGGCGCCCTTTTTTAAACTCCTATTTTAACAAATAGTTACAGAACAACAACCACCACCAAAACAAAACCAAACCCCAAGCCCAGCCCTGACCCTCAGATCTTAGGCAAATCTAAGTAGTTTCTTCAACTGTAAAATGGGGGAAATTGGACTTCAAGGTCAGGAAGAGTCTCCCAGTCATCTAGATCAAGGGCCCAGTCCTGGCTCAGTGGCTGACCCACCATGTGCCCTGGGACCACTGGCTTCCTTTTCTGGAGCCTCGTCTGTGGAAAGAGCCTGGGTTTTTGAATCAGGCAGTTCTGGGTTGAATCCGAGCTCTGTCACTTCCTAACTGTAGGACTGGTGCCAAGTCCCATCCCCGCCTGAACCTCAGCTCCCTCCTCTGGGAAGTAGAATCTCGGCTGCTCAACAGGGTGGAGAAGAGAGGAAGGAAAGCATAGGGCATGGACCCAGGGACTTCGTAACTCCCCACCCCAGCAGCTGCGGAGGAGGCTAGAGTTTAGGTCTGTGGCAGTCAGTCCCATCAGTATTTACCAAGCACCCATGTACTGTGTAGCCCCTGCACCAAGCTCTGGGATCCCCGTGGGCTTCTTGGCAGGGTCAGGGGTGCTCAAACTGAGAGGGCTGTTAGTCAATGTTAAGTTCAACATCAGTGGGTCCCCACATTACCCTCCCCCACTCACTGAGCTCTGCACCTGGACAGCTTTGCCGTGTTGCATTCTAAGGACGCAGTTGCAGCTCAGGTCAGAGTGGACTGGGCCTGGCCGTGTTGAGCATCGATGCCGTGCCCCAACCTTGACTCCTCTCACCCTCAACGACCCTGGGATTTGGCAGATCATTCTTCCAGAATGGGGTTAACTGAGGCTAATGGTTGAAGGGTCCAGGTTTGAATCCAGGCTCTGTATTTGCATTTGCAGCCCTCTCCTCCCCAGAAGTCCCCACTATGCACTGGTCCCATCAGGAGCCACCAACAGGGCAGGGTAGGGGAGGTGGTCCGCAGGCTGGGTCCTTCCATACCCGCTCACCCATCTCTAACCACAACCCTTGGATGCGTGGGGTGGGGGGCTTCGTTTTTCACAGAAAAGCAAACTCAGGCACTGAGGTCCGTTCTTTGTCTCAGGCTCCCAACCAGGTTTCTCAGGTGCCAGAGCCCGATCAATGACCCACGGACCTTATCAGGGTTCCTGATCAGGTTCCTGAGCACCTACTACGTCCTGGGCCTTGTATGGGCTCAGGGGATGCCTGCAGCCCACCCACTGGACTCCACGAGACCCCACAGCTCACCTCACCTTGACTGTCCAGGACGCTGGGAGGTCAAGATCACTGCCCCACTTCACATGTTGGGGAGCAGGCTGGGAGACCTGGCCAGACCCACGCAGTGCTGAGGTTGGGGTGCTGGTTTGGGTCCTGAGCCTTTCCAATGCAGGCCTCTGCCTCATCAATCCCCCCACCTCAGCCCTGTGAGGCGGAAATGGCTGTGTCCATTTCACAAAGTTGATGGGGGCCTTCACCTCCAGAGGGCCCTGTCTGCATCCAACATGGCCCAGCTCACAGAGGGTGGATGGGACATGGGTTCAAGGCCTCCCCCGCCCCCCGCCCCTGCGAAGGCAGGAGGGAAAAGGATCCAGAGTCTCAAGTCCTCCCCCTGACCTGCCAGAGCAGCTTAATGTTTCCATATAAAGGAGACACGCGGCTTAAGGTGTATCAACTTGGTGTCAAAGTCACTGTCTAATCTGAGGCCAAGAAGCTCCACCCCCAGGCCCCAACCTCCCTCCCCCTCAAAAAGGAGCACTTTCACGCTTCCGGAGACCCTGGGTGTCACCCCCGCCCCTGCTTTTCCCCCACCTACCAACAGGGTCTGAACAGCAGGTTGAAGGGCAGAGATCGACAGAGCGGGGGGCTAGGGTGTGAGGGGACAGAAGCTCAGAGTGGACAGGAAGGGTTCTGAGATGGGGAACCTAGAGAGAGGGAAAGACCGCGCACGGGGTACAGGGACCCAGAGGGAGGGGAACAGAGACCAGGTGGTGGTGGGATGCACAGAGACGGGGGGGGGGGTGTCAGAGACCTAGAGAGAGGGGACAGAGACACAGTGGGAGTGGAGGGAGGCGGGAGGGGACAGGAGAGACAGGCTGACTAGGAAAAGTTGGGAAGGGGAGATGATGTGTCAGGAAATGGGACGACAGGGAGCTGGAGTTGTGGCCAGAGACGGGCGAGAGAGGCTCGCGATGACAGGGACAAGGGGGCAGAAGGCAGATGGAGACGGGGTCAGAGACGGAGTCACCCAAACAGGGGGACAGGTTGTTCTGGGGCTGGACTTGGTCACCGAGGCTGAGGACCTTCCTGGGGCGGGGGGGGGGGGGGGGGGAACAGTGAGGATGGGGAACGTGGGGCAGAGGAGCCCAAGCAAGGAGGGTGCAGGGTAGGGGTGTGGGGGGAGGTGGCACAGTTTCGGCCCAGGAGTGCCCCCCCACCCGGGGTCTCTGTATGGAGGCACATACCTGGTGGGGCAGCCCACCCCCATGCCCTCTGCTGGGGGATCCTCTGCTAGGGCCGCGGGGAGGCCTTTGTGGGTGCTGAGGGGCAGTGATGCGTCCTGGGCCCCGGGGGCCTTGTGCCGGGCGCCCGACCTCTGTGTCCACAGGCGGATCAGAGGCCTGGCTGAGGGGGGGCAGGGGGCGGGGCCAGCTCAGAGCCGCAGAGGGGGAGCCAGGAAGGACGGCCAGGCAGGGCGGCTGGGCCGCAGCCCAAGCAGGCTGGAGAGGAGATGCGGTGGCGGACACAGAAGGGGGAGGGGGCAGGGAGACACGGGAAGGTGGGGACACAGACGAGGAGATAAAGGGGACAGAGGCGGAAGGACGGAGAAATGGGGGGAGCGTCCCTGGTTCCTTCTGAGATGAAGCCTTAAAAAGTCAGGGGACACAGGTGAGCTACCCCTCCAGAGACCGGGACTGAGTTCCACATGGAATAAAATTTGGGGCAGGTGGGTCTGAACAGCACCTGATGGGGTGAGAGAACACATGAAGCAGGGATTCCCAGGGGCCTCTCCCAGCTCAGTGGCCTCTGAACAGCTGGGGTGGGGGCCCGGTTCCCGCCTCCTCCTCCCGTTTCTTCACAGGGAAGCAGCCAGCAGATGAGTCCCACACACATCAGGCCTCCTTCTGGTTCTTTACTGCCTCAGGAGCCCCGGACCTTCCTACCCGCACAGCACCTGCCTTGGATGCAGGACGGAGGGGAGGAAGACCCCCACAGCCCCCCACCGGGAAGTCCAGGCCAAACCCTGTTCAGCAGGAAGACAGAGGGCAAAACCAGATTGTGCTGGAGGAGCCCACCCCTCAACTTCGGCCCACCCACTGTAAAGTGCTCGAGTTCCCTGGGTGGGGGCGGGGCGGGGCGACCAGAGGCCACCACTGGGTCCTGGGATGGAGAGGTCAAAGGGTCAAGCCAGGTGCCAGAGCGCACAAAACATCCACACTGACACCGGCCACACCAGGCCCACCTGGGAAACAGGCCAGCAGGTCCTCAAACACGTCGGGGGAGGGAGGGCAGCCTGGGCCAAACCAAGTCTTTCTGCGGGAGGGGTCCCCGGCGCCAATCGGAGCCCTGTGTTTGGAGGGCTCCCTGGACTGAACCAAGTAGTTCTACAGTCATGGGTCAAACCAGATCGGTTGGCAAGAGGGGTCGTGGGACCAAATCAAGTCCTTTCAAAGAACAAAACGTCAAACAATCCGTCATGGCGGCTGAAGGGCCAAGTCCTTCTATCGGAGGAGGGCTGGTCAGCTGACCTGAAGGAGTCCCTCCCAGCGGAACCAACGCCAACCTCGGTGGCTGTGGGAAAGGCCAGGCGGGGCTGGTCAGACACTGATGGTGCGGAAGATGGTGAAGCCCGACAGGGCGGTGCTGACGAGGAGCCCGGGGCACTGTGGATGCCAGTGCAGCTCCTTCAGGTCTGTCTCGCCCTGGTGCACAAACAGGAGCTGCTGGGGGAGGTCCGCCAGCCCGGGGTCGGCGGTCTCCACGTCGCCTGCCTCAGGGTCGCGCTCCACGGCCAGGTCCCACTGTGTGATCTGGTTGTCTGCACCCGAGGCCGCGAACACCCCGCTATCCTGGGGATGCCACTCGACCGAGGTTACGGGGGCCACGTGCTGCTTGAAGGTGGCCACCGGGGAGCCAGACTACGGGAAGAAGGGAGTCCGGGGCTCTGAGCACCTCAGCCTGAGTCCCTGGGGTGACCCAAGCCGAGCCCTCGCCACGCTCCGGCCGTCGGGTTCCACCAGGGCGCCACCCCTGCGACCCCCACAGGCCCATGTTCTCTGAAGGGGACAGACAGCCAAGTACAACTGGTGATATGGGGCCTAACGTCCTAGGGCGTGCTGGGAACCGTGGTTTCACCTGCAAAGAAGCCCCTTCCAGCTTCAGGTCACAAAATCCCCACCGCTGGTCCTCCCTGGGCATGCCTCAGTTTCCCTTCCTATAAAAAGGGGTGGTTCTCGGGGCCCCAGGGTGGCTCAGTTGGCTGACCGCCGACTCCTGGTTTCAGCTCAGGTCATAATCTCAGGGTCCTGAGATGGAGCCCCACGTCGGGCTCCACGCTTAGCTGAGAGTCTGCTGTCCCTCCCTCTTCTGCCCCTCTCCCCACTCGTGCGTGTGCTCTCTCTAAATAAATAAATCTTAAAAAAAGGAGGGGGGGGTAGTTCTCAAACCTGCTGATTCTATGAAGGCCTTAAAGAGGGCAGAAGCACAGCTCCCAGGCTCCAGTGACAGCCGAGGAAAAGAAAAACAGCACTTTTACTAAAGCAAAGGTGCTACTGGGGACCGGAGCGAAGTCTCTCTGAATTGGGAGACGTGGGTCCAAAGTTCCAGTGGCCAATCAACCTGGCCATGGATCCTGCCCATACACCTGCCTTGGGGGCTGGAACCCTTTTCTAGAAGTTTCCTCAGGCTGACGCTTATAGAACTCATCATACCAGAGGGAAGGAAAGATTACATCGTGGGGGGCCCAGGAAGGCACAGAGCCGTATTTAACGGGGGCTTCAGCCAGAGGGATGCCAGAGTTGCAATTCCTCCTACCCAGAGCCCCTCTTGGCTCTACGAAGTCAATTCTTGGCTGCGTGGTGATGTCACCTCTGCTCCTGTCCTTTCTGTACCTGTTTCGTCTCCTGTAATGAACGACGTGGCTCCGATTCTACAAAGTTCGCTAACAAAGAGTCTGCAAGTCTGAGGTGCCTGAAGCCTCGGGCTGCAAAGCCGGCTGCCCGGCTCGCCAGCGGGTAGATGGGAGTTGGGAGTCAAGGCTGCCACTCAGCCTCTTGTCTCCTGTCACCTCTCCAGCTGGGGGAGCGAGCAACCCTACACCAGTCACAGCCTTCCTTCTGCTGAGCCCGCTTCCTCATCTGCCCCCCAAAAGGGCTGGACCCCAACTCGACAGGCCTTCCCAGCTCTGGTACAGACAAGCACGTAAGGAGGGAAACCTGCAAATCCTAGCGGCTGCTGGGAGCAGGCGCGTTCCCCGGGCTAGGGAAATGTCCAGCTGGGGAAATACCTTGAACTGCCGCAGGTCCCAGATCTTGAGGGCCCCGTCGTCCCCGCCGCTGAGCAGGAAGGGTTCCTGGCGGCTCCAGCTGATCACGTTGACATCCCCGTCGTGGGCGGCGGCGGTGGTGAGCATGCAGGCCTTGCTGGGGGCAGCCCGAATGTCCCAGATGCGAATGGAGGCATCAGCTGAGCAGGAGGCGAACACCTAGACAAGGCAGAGTCTGAGTGACCCCGGGGTGCCTGCCACCTCACCCTGGCGACCAGGGATGAGTGGTGGGCGACCCTCTTTTTCAGTGTCCCCCTCACTGGGACCTCGCCCCGGGCCCCTCCTCTCCCAAGACCCAGGAGTCCAGACCCCCAGCCCTCCCTCACTGTGTCCTCAGTTGGGGACCACTGCAGGTCCTCCACAGAGCGTGTGTGGCCCACAAATGGCCGCTGGTCCACGTGCCAGGAGCCGCCGTCTGTGGGCGTCCAGAGGTGGATGTTCTTCTGACAGTCACCAGTCAGCAGGCGCCCTAGAACCAGGAGTCAGGAAACCGCCTGGGCGCGGCTGGCCACAGCGCCCTCTTCTCCCTGTACTCTTAGCACCCCCTCTTCCTACAGACCCCGCTCCCTCTCACCCCCCAGGACCAAGTGTGCACCCCAGGGACTCACCAGACACCCGGGGGGACCAGTCCAGTGCAAAGCCCTCGCCCATGTGGCCCGCGAAGGCGAAGATGGGCTTCACACGGGCCTGCTCGTCCCGGAGGAAGGTCGCCAAGGCCTGGGGGTCATCCACCACCTGCAGAAGCCGCCGTAGTGCAAACACCTCCACCTGGCCCTTCTCTGACCATATACCAGCCACCGGCTCCTCGCCCAGCCATGACACCTGCAGGGGCAGGGAGAAGGGAAAGGGAGGTGGGAGGGACAGGAGGCTCAGGGTGGTGACCACAGCTCCCAGCATCCGTGAGAACCAGAACTGCAGCTCCTCAGAACTCCCATCGCCCCGGGAACCTGGGTGGCTTGGTTGGTTGGGCGACTGCCTTCGGCTCAGGTCATGATCCTGGAGTCCCGGGATCAAGTCCCGCATCGGGCTCCCTGCTCGGCGGGGAGTCTGCTTCTCCCTCTGACCCTCTTCCCTCTCGTGCTCTCTATCTCTCATTCTCTCTCTCAAATAAATAAATAAAATCTTAAAAAAAAAAAAAAAAAAAAGAACTCCCATCGCCCCAAGGCTGGGACTCCGGCTCCCAGAAGCCTTTGTGGGGACGGAATCACAGCCTGTAAGACCAGCATGGTACCTGGCACAACCTCCCACATTGTGTAGGGGCAGCGATGTGAGTTGGAAAATGCCTTCCAGGCTCCCAGGAATGGAGGCTGTTAACTCCACCAACCCTCGGAAGGGGGTTCAGACTACCAGTCTCTGTAACCCTCTAACGTCTGCTTGCTAGGAGATCCCATTCAACCTCAAGAGCTTCCAGTAGCCCGTAGACCTGACCTCTCTCAACTCCAGACTCCTATCACACCGACTGTTCAAACATCATCGAAGCCAAGTTCCTAACTGCCATCAGCAACCACCTCCTTTCTGGGGCTCCCCGCCTGGGGACTCATTGACTTGTCTCTTCCTCCTCACACCGCGTGCTAGCTACGCTCAAAATGCACCACTTCCAACTCCTCACAACCTGTCACCACTCCTGCTACCCCTGTCATCCTTACCCTTGAATTACGGCCTCCCCACAGGACTGTCCTTCTCCCTTGCCTCCCTGCAGTCTATTCTCAATACAGCAGTCAGAGGGAATCTCTTTTTTTTATTTTTTAAAGATTTTTATCTATTTATTTGACAGAGACAGACACAGCGAGAGCGGGAACACAAGCAGGGGGAGTGGGAGAGGGAGAAGCAGGCTTCCTGCCGAGCAGGGAGCCCGACGCGGGGCTCGATCCCAGGACCCTGGGACCATGACCTGAGCTGAAGGCAGCTGCTCAACGACTGAGCCACCCAGGCGCCCAGAGGGAATCTCTTTAAAACACAAGTCAGGTCATGATCTCAGGGTGTTGGGATCAAGCCCCACACTGGGCTCCGAGCTAGGCATGGAGCCTGCTTAAGATTCTCTCTCCCCCTCCCTCAAAAACAAAAAAACAACAACAAAAAAACAAACCCCCGTAAGTCAGATCCCATTTGTCCTCTGCTCTAAACCCTCCAAGGGCTCACAATTTCTCCCTAAGTAAAAGCCAAGTCCTTAAATGGGCCTACAAGCCCCACACAACCCATCACCTACCCCCCCGCAAATGCTGTCACTCTCCCCTTCGTTCATTTGCTCTAGTAGATGCATTGGTCTCCCTGCCTTCCCCTGAACTTCCTCAAACATGCCACATTTGTCCCAGGGCCTTTACACTTGTGTTTCCTCTGCCTATAAACCCTTTCCCGACAGAAATCTTTGGCTCATTCCCTTACTTCCTGTGGGTCTCTGTTCAAATGGCATCTTATCATAAATACTTCCCTGACAGCACTATTTAAAATAGCAAATTCACTCTAGGAACATCCTAATTCCCTTCCCTTACTTTTACTCTTCTCCACAACATTTGGCACCTCTGGATGCATTTACTTAGTTTCTGCTTGTTCCCTTCCCTGCTCCCATTAAGTTTCACAAAACCAGAGACCTTTTGCTCTCTGTTAAATCTCCAGGACACAGAACAGTGCATGAAACATGGTAACTCTTGTCTACTGCCATACCACCCTACACGCGCCTGATCTCGTCTGATGAAAAATGGTAACCCTTGAATGGGAACACACAGCAAGGACTGTGGGCCAAGCACTGCCCTGAGTGCTGCTCATGCATCGTTTCATTTAATTCACACATCAGCCTGCTCCGAAAGGGCTATAAGTCAGCAGCACAAAAGTGACCCCACAGCCCAGGACAGGTCTTGAGCAATAACAGAAAACACACATCTGTACACTAGAACCAGGTGCTGTCTCTAGAAACCCGAAATAACTGTAGGTTATTCCATTTCACCCTTCCGTCACCTCATCAGGCAAGTTTTGCAATTTTCACCATTGTACTGAAGAGGAAAGAAGGTAAAAGACAACCCTCTTATTTCTCCTAACACACGGTGACAACGACGATACCTAAGACATATGTAAACTAATATATCAAAATTACGTGCCAGTACTTTTCTAAAAGCTGAAAGGCATGGACGACGGGGTTAGGGGAGGAGGTCAGAGAATGTAGAGAAGGCTCCTGGGACTGTATCTACCCGGACTCGGTTGATGCCGCCATAGTGGGGCACCATAGCGAGCTCCAGCTGAGGCTTCCGCTCTTCTTCATCGTCTTCATCTTCCTCCTCCTCCTCCTCATCGCTGCCCTCCGATGGCGGGGACTTTGTCCCATGCAGATTATGCATCCGAAGCATCATCAGTCTGGGGGAAAGTGTGGGGTGAGTGAGGCACTGGATGCCAGGATCCTTAAGAGGGAGGGAGGAGAGAAGCTGGAAACCCCGACTTCTAGGTCCTGGGGGAGGGGGAGCTGGGGGCTCAGGGTCCCGGATAAAACCTCAGGTCTCACTCACCTGTTGCTCTGGGCGCTCTCCGCCTGGGTCCCAGCACACAGGTAAAGTGTAAGAGGAAGCTGTGTCCGGCTGTCTCCCAGGTGATCTCGGACTATGTCGAAGCTAAGACAGGGGGCTCCTGGGGAGAGAAAAAGGGGTTGGAAAATTAGGATGGGACAGAGATCTCAGCCGCCTCGCGAGTGACGTTTTCACCCGTCTTACAACACAGCCTTCTCTCTGAGTGCCTCGTAAGTTAAAGACTCAGGACCAGCCCCGCTCAGGACTCAGGATTCCGGTCCCCTCCTAACTCAGGACCCAGGAGCCCGGTGATCAGCCATACCAGTCTGCGCTCGGTGGTACAGCACGTAGGCCTCCTCGTCCATGACCATTTCCTCTCCTTCGCGCAGGGGCGGTCCGCGGCCGGGCAGGTAGACCTGGGCCGGGCCTTCGGTCCCTGCGTCGCTGGACTCGGCCTCCATGGGTTCCCCGGTTTCACACGTGCGCCGCCTACCCTTGCGCGCCGCCATCTTCGAACCCTCTCTCCGCGGGCGCGAGGTAAGGACGTCACTTCCGGGTTGCGTTTTCCTCCTTCGGAGATCCTCCCGACAGCACGGTTGCCTTGGAAACCTCCCCAGCTCACCAATTTGAGAGGGCGGTGGCGAGAGGGTGAAGGAGAGCTAAGGTAACGGCGTCCCAGCCTAGCGACCGAGGCCTGCGGATTCGGAGACTCTACACCCTTCGCGTGACTTTGCGGCGCTTTTGTGCAGAGCAGCGGCAAGGCCTCCTGGGAGTTGTAGTTCTGTACCAGGCCAGTTTTCTTCTACTGGAGGAGTTCCGAGCTCCGACTCCATCTTCCACTTTTGACTCCCATTGCTTCCTTTCCGCTACATTATTCATTTATGCAAATAAGAGTTCTTACTGGCAAGTAGACTGGGTTTTTGCTCCCCGAGGACCCATAAAGCCCGTTTCCTTTCCCCTCCTTGTTATGATGGCTTTAATTCACTTCAAAATGCTTTAGTGTAGACAGGATGATATGTGTAAGTTAGTCGGTTGTATCTACCCTCTTGGGGCAGTCAATTGCCTAACCAGGCGTTCACATTGCAGCTGTGGTCAGCGAGCACTTAATCGGAAAGTCAGCCCTCTGGAGACCACTATTACAAGTGCTTCGGCTCTCTTTATCGCTCATCAGCACCAGAGGTTTGGCTAATTGCCATAATGAAATGCTAGAAATAGATTCTCATTGGTGAGATTAACCGCATTCAAGGTAGGTGGATTGGCTAGGATATACTAGACTCTCCCCTCGCTTGCATGAACAGGATATGAAGAATCTAGCAAGCTGCGTAGCTTGCAGCCATAGGAATGGGACCCTAGACTTAATCCTGAAATGTTTTGATCCTGGATCTTTGTTGAGTTCGCTGTTCCTCCTTCTCTCTAGGTCTCTGTCCGCCCTCATCCCTTCTCATTACTTTTCAGGATCTTTTCTCACAGCTTCCTTCTGGGTCTTTGTCTCCCACCTCCCTCCAGGGTCAGAGTTCTCAATATAATTTTCTTTCTGCCCTCTCTTCCTCTGTGGGACTTTTCTCAGTTTCTGTTTCCTCCAGAGAAGTTTGAGGGCGGCTGAGAGAAACATGGAGCTCACACTTGGACTGAGGAGGCATAAAAACATGGTTTATTCCAAACACTGCAATGTGTAACAGGAGAGTGGGAGAGGAGGTTGGTGGTGGGTGTGGATTCCCAGACCGTCCCCTCCACACCCCAGCTCCAGACCCGGCTGGAGATCTAGGAAGAGGAGGCTTTTGGGGGGGTCTGCAGGGTCATCATGGGAGGGTCACAAATAAGGGCTGGATTTGGTGAGGCTGTGGTTGGTGGCACGTGGGGCAGGTAGTGAGGTGCGACAGGGTGGGAAGTTTTGGCCCGATGTTGGTTGGGATCCACGCTAGGGCAGGGGGAGGCGGGGCTTCCGTTGGGAGTGTCCTAGGTCAAAATAAGGAAAAGCGACCGAGGATGGAAAAGGAGGAGGGTGTGTCAAGGTTTGACGTCAAGGGTCACAGTCTGGTCGGGGTACAGTCTGGGATTCAGGTCACAGTTTGGGGTCGGGGGTCACAGTCTGGGGTCGGATGACCATTTTTAGGGGTCGGAAGTCACAGTCTGGGGTCAGGGGTTTCTGTGTGGCGGGGCCAAGGTCTGGGGTCACAGTTTGGCGAACGCGTCTCACAGTTTTGAGTCCCAATGGATGAAAGGTTAAAAACGGGCTTCCCCGGAGGCGTGGCTGGGGCCGGGGAGCTGCACAGTGATGAGGGGGCCACGGCCCCGGGCGTGGGGGTGGGACGCGGGCGTGGCGTGACCCCCCACCTCCCGCCCCATCTGGTGATGTTAAAAAGCCCTTGTCGGGTTTAAAAAAAAAACCAAAAACTCCAGTGGGCTCCGAGACCCCCACCTTTCAGGCTGGGTGAGATTTGGGGCGGCTCGTAGTGCCCCCAAAGCGAGGGGGCGCAGGACGCTGCTCCAGGCGGGGTCCGGCCAGGTCCATTTTCTCCTTCCCAACCCACGCGGGTCCTGTTCATTGCGCGTGCCCCCTCGGGCCGTGGCCTGCGCTGACCGAGGGGGCGCTGGGGCCCCCGGGGCCGCGTCATACCTCGGACTCGAGGCTGGAGAAGTGCGCCGAGCCCCTGCGGGTACCCAGGTCCCCGCCCCGGTGTCTCCGGTGGGGCGCGGCGGGCAGCGGCGGCCCCCAGTGCGCGGCGTGCGGGCACCGGCGCGCGTGGCGGGAGGGCCCGGTAAGCCTGCGCGCGGGGGCGGCGCGGGGGCACGAGCTGAGGTCCTCGAGCGAGCGCGAGGTGGGCGCTGGCGGCGGGAGGTCCCAGCCCCCCGCGGCGCGCCGGTGCCGGTGGTGGTGCGGGGCGGCGGCGGCGGGCGCGCGGTGCGAGGCCCGTGGGCGGTGAGGGTGCGGCCGCGGACACCCGCAGCGGGCTCGGCGCCGGGGCGGGGGTCCGGCGGCCCAGGGCGGGGGCGGCGGCGCCCACCAGCCACCGTCCAGGCCGTCGTGCGAGCAGCTGAGATGGCGCGGCGGCGGCAGCAGCTCCAGGCTGGCGCAGTGGCGGCAATGCCAGGCGGCGGGACCGCTGCGCGGGGGCAGGTAGTCCCAGCTGCCGGCGCGCCAGCCCCCGAGCTTGTCGACCGACCAGTAGCGGCCGGGCGGCGGCCCGAGGCGCTCAGCGTACGGATAGGGGAAGTCGGCGAACCACCAGGGCTCCAGGCCGCCCAGCGACGCGCC